TCACCCCAACACACCCGTGTCTCATATCAAGCCATCACGTGGTTTAGGGCAAGTCAGTGCTATGGGGTGGTGGGACAGGGTGGGCTGGGGGGACAGCAAGGGGGGGCTCAGGTGGGCAAACATGAGCCATGGGCTCCCCATGAACCCACGTACTCCCTGAGGGGATGCAGTTATATGGGCCAGGTTACATGGCCACGAGCAAAGTACCCCTCCGCTGTGCCCTTCCTCTGGGTCTGCATTCCTGGGAGCAGAAGGCAGTGCTGCTGCATCAGCTTTGGGATGCCACCACCTTCTGATGGTGCTGTCTGCTGACCCGCTGAGCTCCTGTCACTTTTCCACAGCTTTGTTTCCCTCCTGCTGCCTTGGGAGAAGTGGAAACGGCAGAGAGGAGGAAATGGAGAAAAACCTGTGCCAGCCGTGCTCCTCCTGCACCCCTGTGGGTGCCCCCACGGCGTTCAGGTCCCTCCTGTACCCCACCAGGTCCTGCTGACGTTGCAGGGCATCACGCTGGGGCTCAGCTGAGCTGCACCCTGAGACTCGTATAGTGAGTGGTGCCAGCCGGGTTTTACAGCTTGCTGCATCAGGAACATGCCTGGGGCAAACTGCCATGAGCAGGATTTAAAGACCTACCGTGGGGCCACGTTTCCTACCAGGTCTGGTGGACAGTGCCTAGACCATGAGCTCAGGGCACAGCTCAGGTTATTATTATTTCTGTTGAAGGAAGGTTGTGCTTAGGCCACCGGGAGGGCAGAGCATTTTGGACACATCTGATGTGTTTCAAAGTGTTTCTGAGCTGTCCCTGGCTTCCTCTGCCGGGCAGGGAGGAGTTAAGATGGGAAGTGCAAGATGCGTCTTGTAATGGCACTGATGTGTGCGTCAGGTGTGCCTGCGTCACCCGGCTCCTCGGACGCTTCCCAAGGCTGGGGCTGAGCTTTTCTTCCCTCCCCCAGCTGCCAGGAAAAGCCTGGGACCCATCTAGCCTGGCCATGGGGAACGTGGACTCCATTTCAGTGCTGGCTGCCATACCCGCACTGTGCTGTAGCTGGGCTGGGCAATGGGACTGGGGACCCCCTGTGCTAAAGGGTGGCCTCAACCTTGAGGCACCTGACAAAAAAATACTGATTTTCTATAACTGTGACTGTTCAACTCCCCAGGGAAGCGTGCGACTCCCCGCTTCCAGCCCCAACCCTACCCTGGTGCTCGCACCCCCAGCTGGGGTACATCCATGCAGCCACAGGTACGCACGTATGCCACCCACGAAGCAGCAGCTGTGGGCAGAGCCACTGCAGGTGAGCATCACCCTGTTCCCGCGCTGGCACAGCAGCCCACGCTGCAGCTCGGCATCATTCCCACCCCGCAGAGCAGGCACAGCTCTCGCACCCAGACCCTGCGTGCAGGTACAGCGTCTCACAGGGTGGGCAAATCCCAGCAGCGCCTCTCCTTTACACGGAGCTCCCTGCGCTGGTACAGCCCAGCTGCTGGAAGGTGACACAGTGGGACGCTTTCTCCTGCAATGGGCTTTTTCCAAGCAGCCGGTAGCACTGGACAGCAGGGCTCTGGCTGACTCCATACCCTGCTCCTCATGCCTTCACGGACCAGCCTGTACCCCAAGTAACCGCTCACTCCAGCCATCAGCAGGCCACTCAAAGCACCTTCTCTGCTTACAGGCGTATTTTGAGCACTGGGCCATGGCCCAGGATCGCAGGCAGCGCATGCCCACCCCATCCCTGCCCTCTCCCTCCTGGAGAGCTGCCAGATCTGATCATGCAACACGCACACAAGGTTTTTGCGAGAACAGTTTTTAATTCAGAATTGGACAAGTATGTGATGAGTCTATTTAAAATGAAGTGCATCCTATGCTCTTGTCCACGCTGGACATTGATTAGACTCAGGTTTTCTTTTCAGGCTTCACTGTGCAAAGAAAGTGAGGAGGAAACTGGTTGTTTAACTGGCCCCAGATGGTTTGCAGCCTTTGGGCATCAGCAAGACACCTTGATACTCCCACAGGAAGACTTGCCACTTGCCCACTACGGAGGTACCCCCTCCCAGGGGATGCGGCAGGAGCCCTGGCAACCCCAGTTTGCCACTGCGCACCCATGGGGGCGGCTCCAGGCTGGCAGCGCGACCCTGCTCGTCCCCAAGCACCAAGTGACAGATGAACATGGTGCAGCCGCAGCGCTTATTTCTGTGCGACAGCAAGAGGCTGCAGACAGCATTTTCGGGAGATCACCGGTGTCCAAGTGCCACCATTTCTCTGTCCCTGAGCTGGGGGCGTCTGACTCCCCCGCACTGCTGTCCGCAGCGGGGCCAGGTGCTGGGCAGAGCACGTGGGGCACAAGCCCTGGGGAAGGAGGTCAGCAGCCGCCCCCACCTTTAACAGCTGAAGGCATCAGGATGGCCCGAAACACGTGGAGGAGACGCTGTCCCCCATCACGGGCT